TATATATATATCAGTGGACCATTTTTCATGATAAAATGTACAAAAAAAAAAATAAAGAAAAAGAAAAAAGAGAGTTAGATACATTAACTAAAGTTCTTAGGCCGTGATTAATAAGGATTTTGACATATGAAATGTTATCTCTTTAGAGTAAGATAAGCTAAGAAATGTACATCTTAGGCCATGAATAAGTCTTCTCTAGTTCTCCCACGGGGAGCAAATATATCATATCTTCTTTGATGTATAGGCCTTAAGCTCAAGTCATTTAAATTTTTTTTAATTTCCTTCTAATTTCTTAGTTGTAGATGGGTTTGGCTTGAGTTGCTTAACTTACTAGTCAATAGCAACTGGATTCAAATTAAAACTAATTTCTTAATTAGCAGCATACAAATTAGGCCACTGATGGGCCAAATTTCCCGACATGGACTAGGTAATTAATTCAAATTAGAACTAGGATCAACACTTGCACACAAATTTTCAACAATTAATTTTTTAAAAAACTTGAGAAATTTTTCAAAGACACCAAGGGAGAAAAAAAAAATAAGAATAGGTAGGGAATGCTAGAAGAACAAGGATGCTTATGGTTAGGGGTGTTTGCAGCATGGATTGGATCAAATTTTGATGTTTTATATCCAAACTAATTTAATTATGGGTTTCCAGAAAAACAGGACGTCCTAAGATATTAGGACGTCCTGTTTTTCCATTTTTCTTTTAATTATTTAGTGAAAGTTATAAGCTAATCTAATCTACTATTATATTATAACTAAATTAATTCAATTTAGATTCAATTGGTGTAGTTTGGTCAGCTTATTAGTTTTCTAACAATATTTTGAATATTTTTAATTAGATAAAAAATCAAAGTATCAAACTATAGAAAGTATCAAATTATAGAAAATATAATTATAAAACACAATAACATCATAGACTATAAAGTGATAATACCAATTACTAGATTGAATAAAAAATTAAGAAGGCGAAAGAAAAATGTAAAAATTAATAAAGCAACAAAGACATATCAATTAAATTATCTGATTTATAGGAAAAAATTAAAATTGACCTTTATTAATTGTTTAATTAACTTCATCAACTTAAAATTAATATTAAGATTAATATCAATTTTTATATTTTTTATGTATTTATGATAAAAATAATATTTTTAACTTGTGACCTAAACTTTAAACATAACTAAATATATATATTATCTTTAAATATATATATATATATAAGTAAAAATCACGGCCCATAAAAAATCCAAGTTTTGTCAATTTTATTATACATGCAGTGCATGACGATTTGATGGACTTGGACCAGTCAAGATTGATGAATGATTAGTTAGCGGCTCAATGCTTGTAATCAATGGCTACCCTAAGGCCCAATTCCCAGTTCAAACCCAACATCAGAGTCGGTAGGTGTGTCTTTTCATGGTGGAACTCTAGGGGTGAACATGGGTAGATATGGTCAGATATTAGTCCATACTTAACTTGAACGGTGATATGTAAAAGATTTTGATACTTAATACTTATCTGGATATTAAAATTTATATTCGTTACTCAATTTATTAGGTGTAGGTGTACCATAGATATATTTATATACTTATTAAATTTTACATTAAAAATACATAAATTAATATACAATTACAAGTTTAAATATATAATATAAGTT